CCCGCGCAAATTTTCCTTCTTTTTTTTTTTTTTTTTTTTTTCTCTCTCTTTTTTCTCCTTTTAGTCAGTTTTAAGAGCTGTAAGTCAGCCTCTCGAGCTGCTTCCAGAGCCAGTGCTTACTGGCATGGCAGCACCACCGTGCCATAACCTGCCAGGTTACCCATTAGCCACACTGAAGATGAACAAGTCTCCATAGCTGCAAGCAAAGTACAAAACAGGCAGAAGAGAGCACACCCTGAGCTTTTGCCTTTTTGTAGAAATATCCCTGAAATATAAGGGCAGTTTCACATGCAACACCACGTGCCTCTATGCAGACTGGATTTGATGTAGGGCAATCTTGAAGAAGACAACGCAAACGAGCTTTGAGCTCTGTCACTGGCACCTAAAGGCCAAGGGTTCGCTCCTGGTTTAGGGGAGCTCCCCTGTATCTACGCTCAAGATAAAAGTTACTCTCATTACCAAATGTTTCTAAATCCTCTCTCAGTATTGCAAATGTATTTTATATTTAATGATATCCTAGGGTAGGCTTCTTAGCTACAAAATCAATCTAGGCACCAAATAAATAATCAAAAGAAGTGAATCAGAACCATTTTCTTAACAACACTTACACAAGGCATTTAAACCCTTATTCTGTACCTTTTGTCCCAAGAACTTAATTACATGGTAATTTTAATAAACACACAACTATCATAAGGTTTGAAGGAATCCCTACCCAAATATGCATGTTTCTTCCCTTGCTTCTCCCAGAAGTATCACTATTACTGTTTCATTTGATAGAATAAACTCACAGAATGCTTAAGGTTGGAAGGGACCTCCAGGGATCATCTAGTCCAAACCCCCTGCACACACAGGGTCACCCAGAGCACGTGGCACAGAACTGCATCTAAGCAGGCCTTGGAAATCTCCAGAGACAGACTCCACAGCCTCTCTAGGCAGCCTGTTCCAGGGCTCCGTCATCCTCACTGCTAATACATTTTTCCTTAAGTTCCTCTAAGAACATATTCTATACTATTTTTTTTCCCATTACAGAAAGTTTCTAATCAATGACTTACCTTTAAGAGAGCCAAGGCCACATGAAAGATGATGTTCAGACCCTGAGAATAAGACAAAAAAAGACTTCAGTCAGTGCCAGCCTACAAGTCTCTCATGTTAGCTGTCGCCATCAAGCACCATAACTAGGATGTCGTAGATCCTCTCCTTTCCATGCTACACTTCACAACTCATCCCTAAAGCCCAGGGCAGTTCCCAAACTCCTGGCTGGGAAGGATAAAGGCTCTCTGGAACCTCGTGTCTCATTAAGCCCAGTGCTACGTGTAGCACAGGAGATGCCACCTGCTCTGCTCTTTCCTGAGTGGTGCAAAACACTGCAGCCAACAGGTCACCGAGGAATCGCGATGCCTATTTCAGTTGACAGGATATGGGCTCATTCACTGAAGGCTGGGATTATGTACTTTTTTTTTATACTGAATATATATATGTGTGTCTATACATATATATATATATGTACCTATATATATATATATATATATATATAAAAACGCAAGAAAAAAAATCTTCTTTTTCTGATATCTGTCAAAAAGAAAGATTATTTCAGAGTCGAGCAAATTGATATCTGTATTAACTATTCTGCTTTCTGATTTGCCAAAGCTAGAAACACATGCACATAAATCTATTCAGTAAATAATGAAATGGCAAGGTCCAGTTATTTAAAAATCTAAGAAAGTAGACAACATTGACCAGCAACACAGTGGTGAAAAAGCTTACATTTCCCCCTATATTTTAATATAAAAACATAACACACATAGCTCTGCTTATAGTCAACGCTTTTCTATTTTGGTGAGCGAGACCTTGAGATTTCTTCTGGGGAAAGGGGATAAACAATGAGGTTCCTGCACATCAGCCTACCTGCGCTCTTGGGGTCATGCTCACAAAAGCGGCACAGCCCAGGCCAAACAGCTGCTGCTGCTGATGGAAAGAACTTTCCTTTCTCTACCAACTTGCCTAGACATCTTGATACTGACCTTCTTAAGTAGCACTGTGATTGCCCAAATAAGAAAAATCCTATCTACAATTCTCATTTGGTGCTGTATATGTTCAAATTGCTGTATTGCTAGACTTTTTTTTTTTTTTAAAAAAAAAAGGGCTTCTTGCCTCCTTAATGACAAGATAAGTCTCTTCTTAAGAAGTCTTTGAGAGATGATCATCTAAGCGTCCCAACAGATTTGCACCAAGTGATACTGTCCCAACAATATGTATCAGTGTGAGATAATAAGAGGACTTTGTATATGGGTATCTTCCACCACTGCTACAGAGAAAGCTGTGGGAAGACCCAGCCTGACACCTTGAATAAGGCTGCAGTTTGGGAACATCAGCAGCAGTTTCCTTCTATTCCTAAAAGTAGGAGTTCCTACTTAGAATAAAACAGAAATGCTGCGGAAAAATCAGTTTTTACAAAAACTTGCAAAAATTCTTCAGGGGCTTCTTAGGCAGATTTTTTTTTTCCTGTGGGTTGTATGGTGCCTCAAAGGAATTTTATCTATGAGTGAGTCTTAAAAGTGCAACTACATGAGATCTAATGAATATTGCAACACTGCCCAAATTAATTAATTTTGCATAATCATAACAGACCGACTTTTTCCACTAGAGGTCACAATTGCAGCAGAACAGAACTAAAAAAGCATGTTTCAGATACAACAGACACTAATTTAGCTTTAATACTTCATTTGAATAGAAAAATGTACCAGGAGAGGAGGAGGCCGCAGGCTCCCTAGCAGCACGTCAGACAGGCAGGGGCCAGGGCAGGTGCCCTATGATCAGATCTCCACAAGGCCTCTTCCAGCAGCAAGGTGCCTCTCAATCCAAGGGCACGTTTCAGACCTGTGAGCAGCTATTTTGTGGGCAAGGGCAATTTTGCACTGCCCAGCAGGGCCTTTCTGAGCCCGAGGGCCGCACAGCCCCAGCCAGCAGGGTGAGGCGGAGGTGGCATTTGGAGCAAGGGCTTCCACTCCTTTCTTCGGATGGACAGTAAGGTGCTTTACATTTCAAATGTGGTGCTTCACCCACCCATTTTCACCGTACATATTGGTTGAATTATTTTTTCTAATGCTCAGGAGACTACTCTGACATAGCCAAGTCTGGTTAATGATTACCACTGTGAAAAATGAGGCTAGAGCAGCTCTTCCCTCCCTGCATCCCTCACCAATCTCTTATTTAAAGTCCTACTTCATTCACAACACAGAGATTTATTAACACTCAGCTTACACTTCTTCATCTATTTTAGAAGCACAAGTACCAAAAATACCTATGTGTAGCAGGCACATAAATCATTGCTAGCAATATCCCTCCAGCAATTTTATAATGGAAATATTAAAGTACATACAAATCACAGCTGGGAAAAAGGAGAGCGAGCACACTAAATAAGCTTTAAATAACTACTTTTCAAAAAAAGGGGGTTATGCTTATGTCATATTGTTTCCCAGTGATGCAGTCACCCTGTTGGCTTTCAACCTGAGAGGCTCAGCAAATGAAGGAGTATCTCATTTGCTCAGCTCTCTATCATTAAGTCTGCAGCCCAAGTCCCCACAAATGAGACTCTCGGCTACATTTTCCCCAAGGTACTCATCCTCTGCAAAAGGCTCAGCAGCTTCCATGCGCACTGCCTAGGGGCTTGGCTGACGAGCTAAGCACCTGCAGTTTCTTCATTCCTCAAACAGGTGTCATTTAAGAACCCTCTTAAGCTTGGGTAGAGGCCTGAAGCATTTTAACAGATCTCACTCAGCCCAGGAACTTCGACAAAAGAACAAGCCCATCTCAAAGCAGACAACTCTTGACTATGCTGCAGCCAGAATGGGCCAGCAAAAGGAAAGTTTCAGAGCTTGGGCCATCTTAGAGATGCTCACCAGGACCTGCTAATGGCTCTGACTGCACAAACCGTTCTCAACTCTACAAGGACTTCAGAGTTAGTTACATATATTCAAAGCAAAACAGCTCAGTTCTGCAACAGTATCTTTCACACCTAACAGGATGCTAAGGGTACATGAGCATCCAGTAGCTCACCATTTTCCCAGATTTCAGATTTTTTTCACCAGATTTCACTTCACAGGAGCTTTTAATTTGTATGGCAGATCATGTTCTCCAACACAGACGGTAGCCAATGTTCACATGAACAAAGCAGTGAAACTCTATCTCACAATGCTGTAAAAATGTGACAAATGCTTTTCTCAAGACAGAAATCTTGTGAGAAGGTAGGCTACAAAACAAGCACTGGAGGGAAACACTAGCACTTCTCCCTCTCCAATTCAGACCATCTGAGAAGCCTTTCTGTGGTTTTACAGCTATAACCTCTGCATCATTTCCACAGACTAAAGCTAGCAAATCTCTTCAGAAAATATATTGCAAGTTCATGTAATATTAGTGCTTCTTATTTGTAGCTTTGTTCCTAGATATACACGACCTGTAGGAGGAAACAGTGACAATATCGACACAATGTTATTTACAGCTCAGCATCAGGTAGCAGAGATAAATGTGAGAGTCAACCAGGCACCTCCTTAAGGTCTGAAAAGCTTCAAGACTCACATGACATGTCATCAAAAGAACCACTTAACCTGTTCTGATTTTCTAATAACCGAATGTTTCTTCTTTTAAAGGACAGATTAGCTATTCAACTGAAGTTAATTTGAGACTGCTTTGTAATTATGTGTTCACTTGCACATTTTTCAAAGGAGCTGTAAAGGCTAATTAGGGTTACAAACTCAAGAAAGGAATTAAAATTCTATTTATGTTTTGGACTGCTTCCAGCAAAACATTTGTTTGGTAACTAGAGTACGTTAAGAATACACAATAAACTTCAGGAATATCACAAATACATTTAGGGTGCTGATGCCATAAATACAAGGTCTGAAGCTCAAGCTTCTCTTTGTAAAGTAATGCTGACTTGGAGCACATTCTGCAGGGATATGCATATTATTGAGTACCTTTTACTCCAATATTATTTTTATAGCTTGTACATGCACAAGACAACAACTGAAAAGAAAGGTCAACTCTCATTGAAATAAACAAAGTGTAAGAAAGATGCTTCTGATTACAAAGATTTACTGTGCTTGCGCACAGTGTGTGGGGGCAAGTACATAGGTGTTCCACGTCACGCAAGTAACTTGGTTTAGTACTAAAGTTCTGCTGGAATTACTAGCTCTTGCTAAGCCAGCAGAACATGCATAATGAAAGGGAGGAAGAGGAGGGACAGAGATCCTGTTCTGGCTCAGGTATCAAAATATTTTTTCCATTCCACTGGTCCTTTACAATTCTTGTTCTAGCAGGCTCAAAGAAACCCAATTTTCACATTGTAGATTGGCTCCACAGAAACAAAAACTAGAAAACTATAATCTCATTAATGTATAATATAGCAAGCTTTCTATACACAACAGATATAGCCCTCTTAATAAACAGCTGTCTTGGAAAGAGAGAGAACAACTCTGCAAAGAGATCCTCCTGCCAAGGAAGGAGACATCAGCTGCTTCTCCAGCGAGTCTGTGTAAATCACCTGCTCTGGTAACTCACAACAGAGTGTGGGGTACACACTACAGTACCACAAAGAGGGAAAGAAAGATATAGAAGTCTCCATTGTGATACTATGATCATATGAATAATAAACAAATCCAAATTAAACACAGTTGAATTGGCTGAATTATTACCTTAGCAGATAAGGGGATAGTAAAAGTGGTGCCAGAGAATTCAGTATTTATACTTTCTGTATATTGAAAAGTATGAGATAAATAATACCAGGCAGCCCTCATCCAGTATCAGTAACTTTGGCATGAGATTGTTCTGTGTTGGTGTTTTTTTTAAAAAAAAAAAAACAAAAATGAATATAAAAGCAGCATATAAGGGGGTATTATGAAATATTTACGTGTTTCTGATGATTTTCACATAACTTGCTGCTGACACATCGCTATGTGTGAGTGAAGGCAGACTGCTATGAGATTAATATGTTCTCCTCCCCCGTTTCTGGGACAATAACAACTGTAAACACAGAATAAGTCATTTTCCCATATAAAATTGCTCCTGGGCATCTGGTATTCCTGCAGGGGTACGTTCT